TCATAGTTGAAGAAAAACTGCAAATGCTCAGAATGCATAGAGTTCAGTAGTCTAGAATTGCTTAAAGTTAGCCAGGTGTGGTGGCTAGAATAACTAGATACATATATAGAAAAAAATAAACTTTTGAGCCTATGTGACACAAGACATAAAAATTTACTTGAGGTGGGTCAAAGATCTAAGACTAGCATCTAAAACTTCTGCAAGAAACAGAGGGGGAAATTCTTATAGTCTACAAGTAGACAAGGATTTCTTAGGACACAAAAAACAAGAACAGAAAAAGAAAAAAAATAATGAATTGGACTTCATCAAAATTTAAAACCCCAGTACTATCCAGAAAAAGAAAAAGACAAATCACAGACTTGGAAAAAAATGTTTGCGAAACACATTATCTGATAAAAGACTTCAAAGAAAGCACTTTTACAACTCCGTAAGAAAATATACCATCCAATGAAAAAAGGTGGGAAAAGCAGTTGGATGTATTGGCTGGGTCTGTCTGTAATCCAGCTACTATGGATGCTGAGGCAGAAGGATCACAGGTTGGAGGCCAGCCTGGCCAACATAGTAATTGAGAACCCTTTAAAAATAAATAAACAAAACAGGCCAGGCGTGGGTTCACACCAGTAAGTCCAGCTACACAGGAGGTGTAAGTAGGGTTGCAGTCCAAGGCTGGCTCAAGCAAAAAGCACAAGACCCTAAGTTTACACTTTCACATTCCCAATATCACATACATATGCACATGCAAAAATGTTTAGCATAATTATAAATTAGGAAAGGCAAGTTAAAACTACAGTGAGACAGCACTACATATCCACTAGAATACCTACAGTCATAACCAGCAAAACACCAAGTGTTGGCAAGAGTGAAGAACAACTGAAACACTCATAATTTACTGCTAAGATTGCTAAATGAGAAAAACATTTTGGAAAACAAATTGACGATTCTTTTTAAAGTTAAACTTAGCATATGAGCAGTTCTGATCCTACCTAAATAGTCAAAAGAAATAAAACCATGAATCAACAACAGACTTATACGTGAATGTTTGCACTAACTTATAATTACCAAAGCCAAGTGTCCAGCAAATAAATGGATGTGACATATTCATGCCATGTGACACTGCATGCACCATCATCTGATGTTCAGAATTGTTTCGCCAAGCAGAAAAAATAAAAGCCATATAATTGTCTTTATATGAATATCTAGTAAAGACAGAACTAATCCATACTGAAATAAAGCATTATTAGTAGCTGCCTGAGTCTAAGGGGGTATTATTAATTGCAAAAATGTATGAAGAAAGTTTTTGTGATGATGGATATTCTTTTACCTTGATTGTGGCTGGTTATTACACAGGTTGATGTATTTGTTGGAACATTAGATGTTTCAAATGGTTACACTGCATGTTGTATGTCAATTATACCTCAATAAATTCTTTTACTTTTAAAAGTGAAAGAACAAAAAAAATTAAAGTGAAAATAGAATTTAGGCCACTGAAAAATTTGCAAACTACCTGTTGGGATTTTTAATTATTTTTTCTTTTTTGGTGAGACTGGGGTTTTAACTAAGGGCTTCACACTTGCAAAGCAACTGCTGTACGGCTTGAGCCACACCTCCAGTCCATTGTGTTCTGGTTATTTTGGAGAGGGGGGTCTCAAACTATTTGCTTGGGCTGTCCTTCAACTCACCATCTTAGCCTTCCAGGTAGTAGTATTACAGTCATAAGCCACCATCTCCTGACCTGTTTTTAAAGTGATAAGTGATTGCTGACTACAGAGAAGTAGCATGTCATTCTCTTCACTTTTGCTCACTTTCCACATTGTGATTCTGAAGGGTAAGGAGGCATCTCGTAGAAGAAAGACCATGATTTGGTACTGTGCTACCACTGTCACAACTCCTAGTCCAGAGAGCTGCTAAATTCTCCATGGGTGCTAGGATATCTGGGGAAAAATTCAGTTTGCTGCCTGAAGTCTGATGAACCTTTGTGGAATTTGTGTAGAATTAGGTAAAAGAGGGCTGAAATGCATAAGTAGGCCAAATCAGAGGGTTTTAGAAATAGTTGAAAATACAAAAAAAAAAGCAAATTTATATGAAGCATTAGGAGTTTTTCCAAATAGTCTAGAATGGTAACTCAGCCAGATGGTGTGGCGTATGAACTTCAAGGAGTTTGAATGATGTCACTCAAGCATTCTTAAAGGAGAGATCAGTGGATATAACACAAAAGGCCAGATTTTAACCAGGTTCATAACCGGGTATCATACCTGCAGATAGCAGGCTGGAAGGAAATTTCTGTCAGATATAATGAGTAGTCTTAGAAATAACTTAGATGAGGACATCATTAGCATGTTGATCTTTTAAAACCTATTTTAATGCAAATTAAATTTTTAATAAGCTGAAATTTTAGGTCATGTCTACAAAATATAAAATCCTATCCAGGTATAAAAAGAAGTATACAAATGTAGGATGGGGAGATATTTTATAAGAACAATTCAAGAAAAAAAATTCTGTGGTTGAAAATGATTATAATCTTTTAGAAGTCTGTAGAGTGATGATACATTTTTTAGGCCCACCACAAAGGAGATGAAAATGAGAATCTCACCCAAGTTTGTGTTGACCAGTTAAATCTGCATTTAGTTTGGGGCATCATCTTTTGCTATACAGAGATTTCTGGGAAGCTGACTCTTGTGCAAGAGCTTAAAGGAGTAGTATAAGGAACAAATTTACTAGATGCTTTTGCAAATCTAGGATTAAATGATTCTGTAGGTGGATACTCTCCAAGACAGGAGACTCCTAAGAGAATCCTGTCAGGAATATGGTGTTTGTTTAGTTGATAGCATGTTCTTTCCTGATGCTGCTGCAAACCTGTAATCTTCCCTTCGCGTATTAAAAAGGTAGGAGTGAGGTCCAGTGTAATTATCCTAAATAATGGGTAGACTTCTGTATCATCTGTAACAGAGTAAAGTTGATTTATTCTTGTTCCCTTGGCTACCCCCAACCAATTATGTAGGATTTTGGTTTTTTTTTTAAACATCTTCCATGGTAAGTGGTTGGTACTTTCCAAATGTTTTAACCAGGCTCCCACGACTCAAGCTTATAATCCTAGGTACTCGGGAGGCAGAGATCAGGAGGATTGTAGTTTGAAGCCAGCCTGGGCAAGTAGTTTTTGAGACCCTGTCTCAAAATACCCAACACAAAAAAAGGCTGGCAGGGTGACTCAGGTAGCTGAGTGCCTGCTTCACAAGTATGCCCTAAGTTCAAACCCCAGTACCAAACCAAAAAAAAGAAATTATGTTTTGGTGTCAATCTGTATAGAATTATTTATAGGATAGTAATTAGTCTTAAATATTGTATGATGTAGGGTTTGGGTGTATGATTCTTATCCCATTTTTCTGGCTGGGAAAATAGAGTTCCTTTTCCTTCCAGCCTTCTGTTATACAAATGACTTACACCCTTTACAGTCTGGTTACAGAAATGTTACAGAAAGATAATTATTAAATTAGATAAAAATTAGGAAAGCAAATTGTAAATCATAAAAGATTGCACAAGTATAACTTAGTTTTTATTTCAACTTGTAGCAACTATGTATAACCTTGACCTATAATAGATTTACACTGTCTAACTTCTACTGGGACTAGCTCAGCAATCACATACCTTGTTAATTATCTAGTGTATTCCCAGTCCTAAATTTTCTCTCCTCAACCTTCCAGTTACATTTCAATCTACTTTATTCCTGCTACGTTTCTTTGCATCAAATTTGTTTAAAGAATTGATACCATCCATCACGAACACCTTTATCTTCCTTTCTTTTAACTTCATTATGTCTCCATGTTTTCATATATCCCTCCCATTTATTGTTTGTTTGATCTCACAGGAGAAAGAACCTCTTTTCGAAGACCAATACTTTTGTTGTACTAAATTCCCGAACTCTGACTGAAGTACTATACTCTACCACCAACACCATCATCATTTATCTCCTTTCTTTCTAATGGAGTCAAGGTCTCCCCATCTTGTAAAGGCTTTTGATTGGGACCCATTTATCTCTATCTGTTTTTTTACCTTTCTGTCACTCAGAACGTTTTTAGCAGACCAGTAACTGACATCACATTTTCTTTGAATGGAAGAGTGACAGTATGATGTCATGACAAAATAACTAAATTGTAGAAATGCTGTGAAGGAAATAAACAGTGTGAGATGAGACTGATTGGAGGAGAAAGGGTTATTTGGATAAGAAGTAATTTGAAATGAAAAAATTACTTTCAAAGTCTTGATTGATGTCTGGACAAATGAAGAAGTTTAAATGAAGCCAAGAAAGTGTAAATCTCAATTATTTGCAAGTCTATTTTAATAGTAAATACATGATTTTGATACACAATTTGGATTTTAAAATCTGATTTTAGGGCATAACATATTTCTCAGTAGCCATTGTTAGATTTCAGAAGTTTCATATACCTTTTTCTCTAGTATTAAGTGAAAAAAAACACCTTGAGGACATTATATGCATCTTATTATAGTTGATTCAATAGGCATGTATTCAATACTTCACACACACTAGGCCCTGTACCAGGTAGTGGGATAAATGGAAATAAACTGGTCATACCTCTCTCTCTGAGTGAATACAACTAAAGCAGTTTCTAGGGATGACAGATGACTTAAACTTATCACTGACTTTAAAATAGATTCTCTGTGGCCTTCATGGAGGAATTTGCTTCTCACTAGTTTTAATAAGGTTTTAAGAATATATCATACCACTTTAAAATTAGTTGTAATTTACCAAACTTCATATCTAAACAAAAAGCAAGCATAGGCATCTGGTGAAAAATAAAACAAACCATGAATCAAGCTGTTACAATTACTACCTAGGTTAACAGTGAAAGGTTACTTTATTGGATTAGTCATGGTAAAGCTTCACTCAGGAGTTAGAATTTGTGTTCTCTTAAGAGTATGTAGGTGGAAAATAGATCGAAAGCTGGCTTGGGGGAATGGGTACAGGAGGGGAGCATTGAACACAGATGTGGGATGAAATACGAAGGTATGTTTCAAGGATGTGGATAAACAGACTTGGCTGAAATGAAAGGTTTGTATTTATAACCAGCAAAAGATAAAGTCTTTTAATAGAAAAGATTTTGGTGATACACAATTGTAATATGTTTCCATAATCCTAAATTTATTTACAGGCAATCTTAATATTATGTAAAGAAGTTATCTCAATGTACAGATTTCAGTTGTATCATGATTCTAAATTGGTCTTTATACCCCTAAATGTGTTCTATAGATTTAAGGCCAGAGACCATTAGCCCTATTCAGGTTAAAATGATGTTTTGTTTTTCAGTTACTTACACGCCAAGTCAATCATCCACAGAGACCTCAAGAGTAATAGTATCCTTCCTGAAATTGGTCTTCGAAGTTTGAAAACATCCTGACATTTTCTTCACATTATGTAAAAAACAGTTTTCGTGCTAAGTTGAATATACTGTAAAGAAAAATTAATAAATCAATTTGTAGGAGAGTATGGTAGAGCAGGATGCAACAACTTGCTTTTAGTTTCTGAATCATTGAGCACTATAAGAAAATCGTCAAAAGTTTTACTAATAGTTGGACTTTTTTTATTGCTTGCTTACATTCTATCTGTACCATAAAATGGATGTGTTTTATGGCTGTCTACTAGTTTATTACCGTTCTCTGACCTTGCTCAGTAGCAGTTAGATATAAAACTGAAGGCTCTGAATTGTATAATAGTGAGGTGAAATAAACATTTTTTTTCTTCTTGCCTAAGCCCAAACTAAAATCTTGTCTTATGTCATCTTTATTCCAACAAAGAGCTTTTATAGCTGTCCCAGCAGTACTAAAGGATATCTGGGCCTACATCTCAGCCAAATCAAATAGGAAAGTTTCTGGCTTTCTGAAGGGCTTAGGAAAGCATCTCATTATCACTCATTTCAAGCCCCCAAACCTAAAAAGCAAGTCATATAGGTGAAATAGAACTGATTCTCATTTATTGACTTTAGGAAAAAATATTAAGTTCTTTACCTTTTAAAAAGTATATTTATATATTACAGATTTGTAGAAACTACATCTCTTACCTAAAGTCTTCAGAATGCGTGCTGTGATAGGAAAATGAGATCTACTTTTTTCCTTTACTTACTACACCTCAGATATATTTCTCCATGAAGACCTTACAGTAAAAATAGGTGATTTTGGTCTAGCCACTGTGAAATCTCGATGGAGTGGGTCCCATCAGTTTGAACAATTGTCTGGATCCATTTTGTGGATGGTAAGAATTGAGGCTATTTCTCCATTGATTAAATTTTTGGATCCTGAGATGCTGTTCTTAGTTTTTATGTAAATAAGCTTTTACTTTTTTCTTTATCTTTAAAAAGAGCATGAAGCTGGTTTCACTATATTTCGATCAATATATTTATATATATGTATAGATACATTAATTAAAGTGTTTTAATCTTATTAAAATTGTCTATTTAAAATACTTTGTGTTCTATGTGCCCTGTTGAAAAAGAAAAGGTTTATAATTTAAGACAGGTGTGATATGCTGCCATTATTAAGGTTTTGTTACTATTCCTATTAAAAGGAATAGTTTCACAATCTTATTTAAGCCTAAACTGGAAAGTTACTTCCTTCAGACTGGAAAGAACCTATAAACATAGAACAGCTGGAAGATGAAAGAAAAAAAGAGGGGAGATTTTAACAGCCTTGTGTGGCCTTGCATAGCTCTTTTTTCTTTCCCTATTCCTATTTCTGTTTTGTGGAAAAGAAGAGAACGTCTAAAACTTGTACACAGTTACTGTAGCAGGCTGCTGAAAAATCTTACAGGATTCATGGTGTAAATCAGTGGTTCTCAAATATTCCCTAAGATCTTTGAGATGTCCATAAGCTCTTCTCTTTTTTTTCTTTTTTCCTTTTTTAAAGGTCTTTGTAAGACCAGATTTCTTTATAATCTTCAGTCACAATAGCACACTGCAACAGAGCAAATGCAGAAGCAAATATGAGAATCCAGCTGGCTGCTACTCAGCTAGATATTAAAAAGAATTGAAATATTGTACTCACTAAGCTTTGTTTTTTAAAATACAATTATTTTTTCATTAAAGTGGGCATTCCATGTTAATATCTAGTTGTTATTTTAATATTTAAATGAATTAATAAATATTTTAGCAGTTAAATTTTAATATAACTATCCACAGATATAATCCATATAAACAAAAACTCTGTAGGGTCTTAAGTAATTTTTTTTTTTTTTGTAATACTGGAGTTTGAACTCAGGACCTCACACTTGCTATGCAGGCGCTCTACCACTTGAGCATTGAACCAGCCCCCTTCAGTAATTTTTAAGAGTTAAAACAAGTCCTGAAACCAAAGAGTTGGATAACCCAGCCCTAAACTAAATAAAGGTGTTCCAAAAGTCTTGGTACAGTTTTAAGCTTTAAATAATTTAATCTGCACTTAAGACTTTTGAGATATCCTGTTGGAAACAGAAAAGTTGCTAGGTCTTTGAAAACCATATTTGCCTAAATTCCCTGACCTTTATGTAGCACTCCCCAAGAAGGGAATTCTAAGGTAGCATTTTGAGTTTGTCAAGATAAACAGAGGATTAAATTGAATATGATTTCTTACAATAAGTGGAATTAGGACAAGTGGCAAGGTAGAAGAAAAGACATTGGACTTAGTTAGATGCCCTGTATTCTTGTTACTCTGACCATTAACTTGAGCAAGTTTCTTAGCCTCCTCTAAGTCTCTTCATCTAAAATGTGTTGGACTAGTAGATTTTTAAGGCCCTTTTGAAGATCCAGTAATTATAATTAGTTTGGCTTTTAAAATTCTTTATTATATGTTTAACTATTTTAATAATTATAAGTGAAAGGCTAACTGATAAATTGTAATCTGGAGGTAGAGATGGGAGAATCATGGTTCAAGGCCAGCCCAGCAAAAAAGTTAGTGAAACTGGGCTGGGTACATCACTCAAGTTGTAAAGCACCTGCCTAGCAAGCATGGGTTCCTGAGTTCAAACCCCAGTACTGGGGGGAAATAAAATCCCCTATCTCAAAAAACAAACAAGTATAGGTACATGCCTATATACTCCCAGCTATCCAGGAAGAAGAAAGATTGTGATCAGAGGCTGGCCCCAGACAAAAATAGGGAGACCATAAACTAAAGCAAAAAAGGCTAAGAGACCTGGGCATGGGTCAGGTGGAAGGTCTTGAGATCAGACCCCAGTACTGCCAAAAACTGAATTTTTTTTTTAAATGCAATCTGGCTGTTAGATGGCTTTAAGGCACACACTTATAATAAAGATGACAGTGCATACTAAGAAGATGGGGTGGTGGGAGGGCACATTTTCAGTGCTGAAATTACAGATCCTAAAATTAGAAACGCACCGTTCACTTGTTTCAGAGATACTTAACTAGAGTAGAAGAGTTGAACTCAGTCAATTCTCTAGACTTGTCCTTTCTCAAAACCCTAGTTTATAGTTAGTAGAATATTATACAGAAACTTTTGTATTTTATTCTGACTACTTTTTTGTTGATATCTAGATATGTGAATTAATTTTTATTCTACCATGGTTGTTTTAAAACTAGAGAATAGCCAGTAGTACAGTTCATCATTAAACAAATCTCTTGGGCTAATGTGATGTTCAGAAGCAAACACAGAGCATCCATGGTCTGAGAGAATTTGGTCAGAACTAAGGTTTTCTGAATTATTAATAGTGTTCTTCTTAACTTTGTTTTATTTTTACCTTAGAAAGAAACCTTTGTGAAGATTTTTACAAGTTAAATTACTAAATTGAGAATCAGTCATGCATTTTTTTAAAAATAGATGACATGCAATTTTTCATCAAGCCATCTGCCAACAACAGTAAATAAAACTAAATTTTTAAAAAAGACAGCTCTTCAACTGATTTATGTTCTGTCCCTCACAAAAAAATTATTTCAGGCTTTGAAAATTATTTCTTTATCATAACCAGCCTCAGTATTTTGAGCTTGTTCATCACAGTTGTTTGTGGTTTATTTTGTATTGTATTACTAAAATGCAACTGTCAACAAGATATATGATATATACAAGTAGATAAAACCTTTTGCACCATCCCTGTCCTTTGACTCCCTTCAGGATCTCTCACAGATCTTCCATCAGTGGTTGGCAACTTTAGTTGGACATTAGAAACATATGGAGAACTTTAAAGACTAACAATGTTTGGGTCCCACCCCCAGGTTCTGATGTTCTGTAACTGGGCTGGAACATAGTCTGCATGGGGAAGTTAAAAGGCTCAACAGGTGATTCTGATTTGCCTCTGTAGTTGAGTGCCATTATTTCTTGTGAGATCCCTGCCTTACCCAGACCAGTAACCAGGAATCTTGGCTTCCACCCATTTTTGTAGTTAGAACTGCTTTTGCAATCAAATTGATGTATTTTTGCAACCTCTTCAATTTCTTTTAAACAAAATACAGGAGATGCAAGATGAAGGAAGAAATCCTTTAAGTTAGTTGTTAACTGATCACTTACTGTATTTCATGTAAATAAGAAATTTAGTTGTATGATACAGTGGCTGAAATGTGTAATAATGTATCAAATATGGCCTCTTTCACAATTTATAGAGCAGGGTTTGTTTGGATTTTTTTTTCTTCATCTCTTTTAATTGGTTTTATGTCTTTGGCCATTGATAAGAGTATTAATTCCACAATATTTTTAATGATAAAACTTTGCTCTGGGAATTACCATAGCTTGTATTTTACTCTTTATTCAGTTAAGGTGAAGACTAAACAAGAATGTTATCTTATATTCTAACAGGCGCCAGAAGTAATCAGAATGCAAGATAAAAACCCATACAGTTTTCAGTCAGATGTGTATGCATTTGGAATTGTTCTGTACGAATTGATGACTGGCCAGTTACCTTATTCAAATATCAACAACAGGGACCAGGTAAATATTTACCATTTCTGGGGAATTACTTTAGTATTTTTGTAAAGGATCCATTTAGTTGTAGAAAGGAATTCCTGAGTGACATTCCCAATTTTGTCACTAAAGATAAAACAGTGATGATAAGGATAGAACAGGTTTTGCCTGGAACTGAGGGGAGACGAGAGGAGAGGGGGAGGGGGGGAGCAGGGTGGAGAAATGACCCAAACAATGTATGCACATGTGAATAAATGAATTTTTAAAAAATGAATAATACCTCCTACACAGGTAAAAGAATAAGCTCTGCTACTATCATGTTTGCCTTTCATCCTTTTGTTATGTCACAGATTGTGCTATCAGAGAAGGTACTCCCTGTAAACATCTTTAATCTTGATATCAAATTCTTCCTTTTTTATAAGGAAGGACTTACATCATGCCTTGATTTTTCTATGAAGAGAATTCTAGCAGGAGGGTAATTTTTTATTTTTTTTCTTTCCTAAATTCCTTTCCTCTGTCCCTTGTCTTTCAAAAGGTACCACTGTAGCCCCATGCAGCTCTTGGCTTTTTCTGTCTTTTCATAATAAATTCACTTGAAACAGGGACTCGCTGTGTAGAACAGGCTAGCTTTGAACTTGCTATGTAGTCCAGGTTAGCCTCAAACTTGTGGTCCTCCTGCTTTTGCGTCCCATATATTGGGATTATAGGAGTATACCACCATGTCCAACTCACGCTTTTAAAACTGACCTCCAAAAAAGTGAATTGTATTTACTAAAATTACTCTGGATACCTCAGTATTTTTTAAAGTGTATTGGGGTGTGTGTGGGTGTGTGTGGGTGTGTGTGTGCATGCACATGTATGTGGGAAGTTTCATCAGTTAAGCTATTAATATGTTAGCAAACAGTAGTTGACCATGTAAACAGTGACTTAAGGAATATTTAGACTTTATACTGCAGTTTGTATCAGAATCATCTAGAAATTGCTTTAAAATGGATATTATTGGAGCAGATTCCATGGGGTAGAGTCCAGGCATGTACGTTTTTAATGCTTCCCAGGAAATCTGATGCATACCAAAGATAAGAATTACCACTCCAAATAATAAAAGGAAAAGAGTATGAACTTCTTATTTTTCTTCATGACTTCCCAACCTAATGAAATGATCTGGAACAAGAGAGAAGCTGACCAGTCCACAAGCTGCAAAGCTTGTTGGAGCTAGCACCCCAGATACTCAAAGAAGCAAAGATTCTAAGGTGAAGATAGCTCTGATGCTAACAGAACCTTGGCTAGCCTAGCCCTCAGCCCACTTCACTTGACACAGTTGCTGTTACAGCAGTTTGTAACAAACTTTTGAGTTTGTTTACAACTCAAAAATTTACAACTTTTGTAACAAACAGCAAACTTTGAGTGGTTCTGGAGATTAAACTCTCAAGAGAAGACTAGGAAATTAACCAAATAAAATTGAAAGCAGTATCCATTCCAGCAGGTACACAAATCACAACTTAAAAAACACAAGCATTATGAAAAAGCAAGGTAACATGCCTCCACCAAAAGCTTATAATTCTTCAATAACCATATCCAAACATAATGTGAAGTGGTTAAAATTCAGAAATCTGCTTTTAAAAATGATCAGAGAGCTGGACACTGGTGGCTCAAGCCTGTAATCCTAGCTGCTCAGGGGGCAGAGATCCAGGAGGATTGTGGTTCAAAGCCAGCCTGGGCAAGTAGTTCACAAGACCCTATCTTGAAAAAACTCATGACAAAAACAAAGGGACTGGTGGAGTGGCTCAAGATGTAGGCCCTGAGTTCAACCCCCAGTATTGCAAAAAAAAAAAAAAAAAAAAAAAACAGGGCCTCAGAGGATTCAAACAGCTGAGTGAAATAAGAAAGTTAATTTAAGATTAATTCAAGAAAGTTAGCTATGTGGATGAGAAATTCATTAAGGACATTGAGATTCTGAGGGGAAGGAGGGCGACCAGAAATGTTGGAAATGAAAAACTCAATAAAGCAATTTTAAAAACAATGGAAAAATCACCATAGGCTAGACTAAGCAGAAGAAATAATATCCAGGATCAAAGACAAAAATCAAGGAAATATTATATTCAGACAGCAATAACAAAAAAATAATCAAGTATAACCACAACTTTTAAGAACTCTGGGACATGGTCAAGAGACCAAATCTAAGAATCCAAGGGGTAGAAGAAGGAGCTGAGTACAAACTAAAGGAACAGAAAATTTATTCAAGGAAATGATACCAGAAGATTTCCAAGTCTAGGAAAAGATATGGAGATCAAATACAGGCAACATATAGAACTCCTGATAGACACTACTCTTCACATTTAATCATAATGCTAAGCCTACAGAACAAAGAAGGAATATTGAAAGCTGTAAGAGAAGAACCAACTTACTTACAAAGGAAACACATCAGAATTATATCAGCTTTGTCAACAGAACTACTAAAAGCCAAGAAAGCATGGGATGATATACTTAAAGCTCTGAAAGTAAATAACAGCTAACCAAGATTACTATAGTCAGCAACTTTATCCTTTAAAATTGATGGAGAAATAGGGCTGACAAGTGGCTCAAGTGGTAGAGCACTTGCCTTGCAAGCATGAGACCCAGAGTTCAAACTCTAGTACTGTCAAAAACCAAAACAGCAACAACAAAAATCAATGATGAAAATTGATGGAGCAATGAAGACATTCCAAGACAAGCACAAACTAAAGCTATTTGTGACCACTAAACCAGCATTACAGAAGATACTTAAAGGAATCCAATACACAGATGAGGAAGAAAGCCAGTCACAAACACAAGAGGTCAGGAAAGAATAAATTTCAGAGCCAAGCATGGTAGCTCTGTCTAGCAAGAGTGAAGCCCTGAGTTCAAACTCCAGTACTGCAAAAAATGTGACAAAAAAAAGTCTTTGACTTTTTTCTCACATTCCCCCTGGAAAAACTGAAGCACTGTGTACCTCTGTGTACATTTTAAGTTAGCATCTAAAAAATTTTTATCTTTGTGCTTAAGTAATTGCCAAAAAAAGTCATTTTCAATTTTAATATTTTTAAATAAGGCTAATAAATTCACCTTTTTTAAATGTATCCAATAAAATCCAGAAACCATACTGATTCAATACTTACCATCACTCATTTTAAAAATGTTACAACTGTACATTTATTTTCAGAATGTTGACAATTCCTTTGTTTTGTCTTCAAACTATCTTTAGTATTCTAAATTCCCCCACAAAATTCTGTAATACATTTTAGTCTTTCACAAGCCTTTATTAATTACTCATTATATATCTTCAATTAAAACTATAGATGTACATGTAAATTTAGAATTACAAAATTTCTGTGACTTTATAGACTCTGATAATATTTTTAAATTGAGTTATGCCATTGGTGCAGTTTTTAATATATAACTGATAAGTTTTGATATATTTGGAAATTTTGTTTTGTTTTGTTTTGAAACAGGTTTCTACTGTGTAACCCATGCTAGCCTTAAACTCATGATCCTCCTGCCTCTGCCTCCCACATGCTGGGATTACTGGCATGTGCTACCACACCTGGTACATATGTGTACCTTAATGAACAACAGAGGGGCTTTTCTTTCCCCTTCAATTAATTTATAAATCTGTGGGCAAATAAACATTTTTTCCTCAATAGAGCCAGGGCTTAGAATTAATCTTTTCTCTTGTTTTATTTTTAGAAGTAAGTACTGAGAATTCTTAACTAATAAGATGAAAAAAATAGCAGTTTTGTTACAGCCATATGCACAGTTTTGTGATTCCCCAGACCAAAAGGACTCACTGAAAATTCACTGAAAGCTATTATACAAAGCAGATAGATTAAAATCAGCCAAGGGAAGAAGCATATGGGGCAAAATTCAAGAGAGTTTCCCATGTGGAGCTTTCAGTTATCCTCTGCCAATGGAGCTGGGGAGCGCTAAATTTTCCCAGCTGTAATATGTGACAATACACATGGAGTTGCCAACTAGAGAAGATCGTAGTCTTGTAAATATGCTTGACTCCACGTGTCTGACTTTAGTTTCCAACTCCTCCAGAGATCAGGCTGTTACTACATAACCCAAAGCCCCTCTATAAAAATCACATTATTAGCATAGACTATACTAGACTATTTGGCATGGCCCAGGGTCCCCAGACATTGTCATCAGGCAAGACATTCCAGAGACCTCCCAAGGGCAAAGGTTAGCCTTCTTTTTAGAAAAAGATTTATTTCTTTATCACATACCATATCATTCATTTACTTTAACCTAGTCCTATATTATACCAAAAATTACATTGTAAATTGACAATAAAATCACTTTACTGATCAGCTGAGAATTCAATTTTGTTGAAAGCAAAGAATTGGAACCAACTGACTTGGAAAGGGATTTGTTAATCATTAGAACCTGGTTAGATGCTGCTATTTGGAAAAGTTCTTTTGATGCCCCCGTAGTTTTCACAATCCCGGACAACATGTACTACAGTTAGATTTCACATATAAAAAGCTCTGTCTGGCTGGAGGTACGGCTCAAGCAGTAGAGCACCTGCCTCGCAAGCACAAAGCTGTGAGTTCAAACCCCAGTACCACCAACAAATAAGTAAATTTAAAAAAAAAAAAAAGAAGAAGTTATGCCTGTTGTATAGTAGGAGAAGATTCATTATAACAGAGAAGATAGAAAAGGAGAATAATTTACACTTCCACCTGAGTGGTTCTTTGGCAAACTAGTGTTTTGAAAGTGGATATAGTTAAGTTGATGAGTTAGAAGTTAATTAATTCCCTTGAGCTTCCAAGTCTATATACCTGTTTTTTAGTCTTCGTGTAACCCTAGGATACTTTACTCTCATTTGAAAACTAACTATAGGTATATGAGATGTTAATCAGTTAGCACAAATTTGCCATTTACCCTAATGAGTTGTTAGCTTAAGCATTAAAAACCACTTGTCTCCAGAATATTATGTTAAATACTGGAGGGAGACGTGGTACAGATTTTTAAAAGAAAGAAAAATATATGAGGCACAGTCATTGCCCTCCAAGGACTCATAGCCTCACTAGGGAACTTAGATAAGATACATGTTCTCAAAAAGATCAATATTCAGATAAAGCAGTAAATACTTATCACAGCTGTTGATGAAGAGACATACATTCTCATTTCTAGGTGTGAAAGAGAAAGTAGATCTCAGTTAAGGCTTGAGTCATCTGGATTTCACATAGCTAGGAAAGAGACAACGGATGTCATTACAGGGAGAGTAGTTGCTGAGGCCATAAAAATGTGGTTAAAAGCAGGTTTGCAGTGGAATGTATTCTGTGAGTTCCTCTTTGTTACCTACTTAGCTATATTATCTTGAGCAAGATCCTTGATTTGTTTGAGCATTGGAGTCCTAATCTGTAAAATGGGGTTAATACCCACACTTTTGGGAATTATTTTGAGTATTAAATTAGATGACATCTATACTCCAGTGTCCCAAAATTTTTTGGCTTTTAAGGGTTACTTTTCCGTGGATAGCTAAGTAAGCCTATCTGAACTGTTGTCCTGTGTGAATAGTCAGTCTAACCCTTTCTCAACTTTGAAGACCCACTTGTAGGTGCTTTACATTTTCCTGATTGTAGCTTGTCACCTGTTGTTCCAAGGTATTATTCCAGGTTGATCCTAGAATTTGGAGACTGCTTCCTCTATTAAAATGGTGGTGATATGGTTGCTTGGCTTCAGAAGGAGACAGTGTGAAGTGGTACCATACTCTCCTTGTTATATCTTCCCAAGCTTCATCCTTTTAACCTGTGCCATAGAAGCCACATTGCAACCCAAGCTTTACTGCAAGGTTCATAAACAAGGACCATTATCACATCAGTAGGGAATAACATATCAGACATAACCATTTCTAAAATTCATCAGCTCTGTCCAAATGGAGGAGCGCTTACTAACCTCTAGTTTTTCCTTCTTGGATCTGTTTCCTCTATGATATGATCAAAAGCCCCTCTCTCAGGCCCTCTCTTCCCTGAGTGCCTAGACTCCTAACATCTGACTCTGCCTACCTTCAAAAGAGGGTAGGCAAAAATTAGAAAGCCAATAAATCAGAAAAATAATAAATCTCTAGGAAAGAACCTTTTTTACTTTATTAATAAGCAGGAGATTTTAGCTCCTAATGTCTCTACTTTCTTTCCTCTGAGGAAGCTCTGGTTCTCAGAATGTGTGAGCCGTTTGGAGTTTATACCACAAATGACCTTAAAATGCAAATGCCAAAATGACTGCTATAAAATGGTTAACATTTTTGTTCCTGCTACATATGTGTAAAGGACTTACCACAATGCCAACAACAAAAAGTGCTCGATAAGTTTTTTAAAGAAAAGAAAAAGCAGTGTCATCTGTGTTTTACCTGTTGGTGGAAATGTGATCTGGATCAGGAGAGAGAAGCACAGTGAGCAGTTAGGAACAGTTCTGGGTCATAAAGAGTTGAGCCTGCAGCCCACTGATGTGTGATTCCTACATGTCACAGATTCCCGCCATCTGTCATGTCTAGGAATTTATATGTTAGAACCATTTATTATTTTAACTTATCAAAGTTTGATGTACATGTACAAATATATATGTCATGCGTAAGTATACAGCTTGTTGAATTTTAATTGTTCTTTGTATTTGAACTTACATACAAGGTATAATTTGCCTTTATTTTTCTCTCCAGATAATTTTTATGGTGGGCCGAGGATACCTATCTCCAGATCTCAGTAAGGTACGGAGTAACTGTCCAAAAGCCATGAAGAGATTAATGGCAGAGTGCCTCAAAAAGAAAAGAGATGAGAGACCACTCTTTCCCCAAGTAAGAAAAAAACTTCACATTGCCTAAAAGAACAAACTAATACTGAGAAAGATTTTTGAGCACCTTTTTGAGGACACAGTTTGTGTTTCATGGGTTCAGAATCCAGATGATGATGACTTAGACTGACCAGAAATTTGGGGTACCGGTACAAAATCTTCAAAAGGACTTGGTCTTGAAATTCTTTAGCATAGTTAAAAATTATTAAAGACCCCCAAAGGTTTTTGTTCATGTAAGTAATAATTACTATTTTCCAACCCCCCCAAAGAAAAATTAGCAAGAACAGTGACTTTGTTTGTGTTTCTTTAATGTCTTTACAAAAAGAAAACAGCTGGATTCTCTCTATTTTGCACTCATTGTGTCGCAATATGTCACACCATGTTACCTCTGAAAACTACTTACAAAAAACTCCACTTACACACAACAACAACGATAACACCTTGTCAACCTGTGTACTCCCTAGATGTCCACAAACTATGCTTTGCAAACTGCTGCTTTAATTCTTTGTGGTAAAGTAAACAGATTCCAAACTTCCCTTTCATACCAGGTCTTTTTGAGGGACATTTAGCCAGGGGCAGAAAGACAAGGCACAGTCAGCACAGTCTGCTTTTCTCTGGTTCTTTATAAGTGTCCATTGCCTTTTTATATTTTCATGTTGTAAGGCTAAAGACATTAAGATAATAATCTTTATTAAACCCCACAAAGAGCCGGATGTGGTAGCGTTCACTGTAGTCCCAGCTACTGGAGAGGTAGAGAGTAGAGGATTGCTTGAACCTAGGAGTTCAGGACCAGCTTGGGCAACATAGCAAGACTTGGTCTCAAAATCAAAAATGGAAAAAAGAGGAAGAAGAAATAAGCCTCACAAAAAAATAAAACTAAACCAGGCGCCTATGGCTTGAGTCTATAATCCTGGCTACTTGGGAAGACAAGATCAGAAAGATCATGGTTTGAGGTCAGCCCAAGCAAATAGTTCCTGAGACCCTATCTCCAAAATAACCAGACCAAAATGGACTAGAGGTGTGGCTCAAGTGGTAGAGCACCTGCTTTCCAAGCATGAAACCCTGAGTTCAAACCCCAGTCCCACCAAAAAAAAAAATTGAAACTAAGCTTGTGAAGAAGCTTAGAAAGTTTGGCTATAATAAATAGTCTAACACAAAGGCAGTGTTTTCTAATGCTCAAGAACTTTTTTGATAGCACTGTATAAATATGCCTTGATAAATGAGTGGTTTCATGTAGGAAATACTAGCTCCCATAGTTAGTCTGCTTCCATAATTATGGGATGTTCCTGTGTGAACCCTTGTGCCTCTGAATACCCAGTCCTAATTGGGTTACTTAGACAAATCACTGTTACAGAAATGAGATTCGCTCATACTTTATCTGAAATTTTTTTCTTTAAAGACTTAAAGATAGAATTGATGGTTTTAACAGGTGTCAGGGGCTGCCTCAGAGAGGAAAGGGGAGGCTAAAGGTTTTGTGAGTAGATATATATTTTATATACTAGGATTATAAGTTATATTACTTTGAGGAAGAGTTTTGGGGTATTTTTGGTTGTGTTTGGTTTAGTTTTTAACTCAGAAAATCTCTGGCTTAACCATAACAAAGTGAAAGGCCAGTGTTATTGGCCATGTCAGCAGAACCCAGGATCATGTTCCCTTCACATCCAAGGTGCTAGCTTTTTCATTTAAAAGGGGCAAAGTATTCATACTTTCCACCCCCACCCCTCTGCCCATAAAAGGGATCGAATCCAGGGCCTCATGCCTGCTAGGCAAGCACTCTACCTCTGAGCTCCATCTCCAGGCCTTTTTGTTTTATTTTAAAGTAAGATCTTAGTAAATTGCCCAGGCAGTCCTTGAATTTGTGATCTTCCTGTCTCCCAAATAGCTGGAAATATAGATATGCACCACCATACCCTGCTATTCATAGTTCTAAATTTAACGTTTCATTCATTTCATGGTATCAAAAAGAGAAATGCATAAATTTTCCAGATTGGTGGAGAGCTACCCCTTTCAAGTATTACATTTAAATTTTTGTTATAGATTATCCTTTCATACCCTACATTTATGTGCAAAATAAACCTTAAATGACTAAAGATTAAAAGTAACTTTAAAATATGAAGTCATTTTTATATTGTTAAGATAGGAAAGTCCACAAGTTATAAAGTTTAATGTAGTATGTATGACTACATTAAAATTTCTTAAATTTCTATATTGTAAAAAATATCAAAAATTAAACAAAAATAATTGCCATATATATATGCACAGGACTCCTACAAATCAGTAAAAGGCAATGAATAGAAAGTGGACAAAGGATATATATGAACAGGTGATACATGAAAGAAATACACAAAGTAAGTGAGCTTCTGAAAAAGAAAGATTTCAGTGGCAGTTATTAAAATGCAAAATGCCACAGGGGGACACTTTGGTTTTGCCTCTCAAGATTGGCAGTAACAAGCATTGGGAACAGTGTTGGGAAGTAGGAAAAACCACATATTTATAGTTTTTTTTTTTAATTATGGTGGAAATGTAAATTGTTTAGTCTTTTGGAAGAACTTGGTATAGAATCCATATATTTTAAATACTCCTAAAAATCTATCTGAAGAGGCTACCTTCATAAGTACTCAAATATATACAAGAATGTTTTCTATAATACAGAAACATTCTAATATAGAATGTTTTCTATAATAGAGAAATTTAAAGACATGAAGATTAAAGCAGCTCTGTATAGATGGCATGGAAGTCAGTAAGGGAAAAAAGAAAACAATGAGAAAAAAAATATATATATATATAATACCATTATATAATACCATTTTAAAAGGTGGTGGGAGTAGGCTGTATTCATATATGCATGTTTCTGAAAAGGAAGGGTCCAGAAGAAAGTATAGACTATTAACAGTAGGTACCCCTTGAGAATAGGATTTAAGAGCCTTATACTTTTTACATCATTGTATTATTTAAATTTATATTTGCATTTCATACTTGGAATTTTAAAAAGGGTAGGATGTAGTTCAGTGGTAGAGCACTTGCCTAGGAAAATCCTGGGTTTGATCCCCAACATTGCCAAAAAAAACCTTGGAATTTTAAAACTTTTGTAACATTGCTCCTTTGACTTCTTATACTAGTCTTTTTGGGGGTTTTGTTTGCTTTCATTTGCTTTGCTTTGCTTTGCTTTGCTTTGCTTTGCTTTGGTGGTACTGGGGTTTGAATTGAAGGCTTAGTGCTTGCTAGGCAGGAGCTCTACCACTTGATTTAAACCCCAGCACTAGTCATTAAAGATTACAGTTTAACTTAAAAAACAGATTCAGTACTTCAGGATGAAGTTTCATTGAGTACATACTGTATCCCAGGCATTGTGCCAATGCTTTTTACATACATTTCGTGATTAACATGCATTATCATGCTGCATGCCTTCAAGGGGCATAACCTGTTTGTTCCCTTGTACCTTAAAATATGTGAACTTCTACATTTTATATATTATAAATGTTGTGTTGTCACCTGTCACTTCTTATTCATGTGCCGCTAGAAATCTGGATCAGTAGAGTCCTACTTTGAATTATGCTTGTGAGACATTCCGATTGCTGTTTCTTTAAAGGATGAATTACTCTTCTGTTTCTGTTTTCAGATAGTCATGTAGTATTTTTCTTACTTATTCCATCTTCTTTCCAAAAGGAATTTGCAGTCTGTGCCAAATAAGTATATACTTGGTTTTAAATTTTTATTAATTACTGTTCCAAAGCTGGCAAATGATCTAAAATATAAACAAAAGCTAATGATGAGTTACTTTTCCTATTTGTTTTACAGAAATGAAAGAGTATTGTGGTAGTTTTTTGGTTCTTGTTTTTAAAGAAAAATACGAGTTTATATTTTTCCAGGCATTTGCAATACTGAAAACAATTAAGATTTCACATGCTTTTTTATAAAGTATGATGGGGCTCTTAAAGATGTATACCACCCAGATTTTCATTCTACTTTGTTTTTCTTTCTTTTTGTTTTTTTGTTTTGTTTTGTTTTCGTTTTTGTTTTGTTTTGTTTCGTAGATTCTCGCCTCTATTGAGCTGTTGGCCCGCTCATTGCCAAAAATTCACCGCAGTGCATCAGAACCCTCCTTGAATCGGGCTGGTTTCCAAACAGAGGATTTTAGTCTATATGCTTGTGCTTCTCCAAAAACACCCATCCAGGCAGGGGGCTATGGTGCGTTTCCTGTCCACTGAAACAAATTAATGAGTGAGAATTAAAGTACAGTAACAACAAAAAGAAAATAAATTAAGTAACATATGTTTGTTATATGTTAAATTGAATAGAATATTCTTTTCTTTATAGGTGAGTCAAAGAATGCTTGTGTGTTTAAAGACTAGATAAAAAAAATTTCCCATCTAAAATTCATACCAAACATTGGGTTTTTAGCATCCCATTGGTCAAAGTACACAAACTTTGCTAAAAAGCCTGTCTCTGAGGCTTTGCTTCCTGTTCTGAGTATGTTCCATTCACTTGACTATTGTAATTATTAAACTTCAGTTTTCTCTTTTTTTCATGCAACTTTGGTTATTAGCTATCACTTGTCATTAGGGACTCCAGAGGAGGATCACTCCTTTACATGTTAACAAGGTGGGAAGGTGACAGGAGGTTAGCCTGTGTCACATAAGGCAAACTGAGCAGATTTAATTTGGGAATTCACTAGAACTGAATAATACTATTTTTGTTATTCATATTTTTCTATAACTGTTTAAGAAAATGTGAAGTCCTTTATTTCCTTGAAGCAATACACTAAATTTCTTTTAGTAAATTGTGGGTGCAAGTGACCAAAGACACTGCTGAGGAGTGGCACATTTGACATGAATAAAATGGTTTAATGCTGGATTTTTAGTGGGGAAATGTTACAAATTGGAGTTGTTTTTAGATAATGTTTCTTTATACACTAAGGATGTCTTACATGTGTAAAAGTCAAATTTCCTTGCAAATGCATTGCTCCCTTATTTTCACCCTCTCCCAACAAAAAAATAACTTCATAGAATTCTGTGAGAACTTTTGGGTTTGTCTTTTTTTTTAGATAACTGGTTACCAGACAGCCAGGTAATGGATAGTTTTTAATTATTTTAGGTTGTCCCTTTTGTGACGCATAGTATAGCAGCAACCTTACCATTGTCTCGGAAATTCTGTCCTATTACACTCTTTGTCCAGCATGATTCTACTTATGGTGATACTTCATTTTCTCTTTTTGCATTCTACAATATGAAATACTTCACTGCTTACACTTTTTGTTTGTAAAAATGAGTGTAATGTGGCAGTCATACAGTAGAATTTTACTGTGATTCATAGGGAATTAAGCAGAAAAGCAGTGTCTTTGTGGTCTTATCAGAGCTATAGCTCTCCTTCATAGTCAGCCTCTCACTTAACTTAAACTTGTGTGATCATTTTTAAATATAGCTAATAGCCAAAGGTTATTCAGCCAACAGACCCCATCTGCATATATGCCATCCTTCTTTAAGGTCAATAAAGCAGAAAATTGGAAAGACTTTAAATTAATGATAATTTAGTTTTTAAACACCACAGATAAACTTCTGAAATACTTCATTTCCATAGAATTAGATTTCATCGAAATCAGTAATAATTACAGCATAACTTTTGTCCCTCGTTTGGGTAGGTTAAGATTAGTAATGTTGTCATGACTTTATATTTTGATTCATGATTTTAAAGGTAGTAAAAAAGAGCATTTCTTATCTTAAAACAAAAAGAAAAAATAGTGGTGCCTGGCCATAATCCGAGCACTCTAGAAGTAGAGGCAGGAGATCATGAGTTCTAGGCTAGCCTGGGCTACATAGCAAGACTGTCTCAAAAAAACCAGGGGTAGGAGATATGGCTCAATGTTAGAGCACTTGCCTAGCAGATACAAGGTCTTTTGGGAGAAGAGGTGATAGTAGGAACAGCATCCAAGAGTAAGAAAGAGCTAAAAGAATGTAACATGTTAGAAGCCTTCATTGTTCATGATTTCTGAATCCTCCAGTGACACTAAAGATAAGATTATTGGTAATTAGTAGGCGGAGTTGTGTTTGTTCACAAATAGAATAGCAGTCATGGAGTTAACAAGGTTTCTACAAAATTAACTTGGTCTGTGGAATGCTCAAAAAGTTTGGGCACTGTGAGACACAGGTCAAAGGATTTTTTTTTTCTTTAATAGAGCTCTTCCTGTCATCTCAAATATATCTGCCTCACTAATGTGTTTCTTTCATTGATCACTGTCTTTCTCCCCCAACACTACCCTTTCCAGTCCCCCATCAACAGTATCTGACTCCTTTCCTTTCTTTCTTTACCAGTCTGGTTTTTGCCAGTGGGTATTGCTAAGCTCTTGAGCGGCTCAGAAACTCATCCCACCATCCCATAGACATTCAAGCATGCCTCCAAAGGTTACATAGTAATTTATGCCCCCTTCCACATTTGACCCACTGGGAATGTTAATGGAAAAACCTTAAAAATATGGCAAGTGAGGGCTGGTGGAGTGGCTCAAGATGTAGGCCCTGAGTTCAAACCTCAGTACTGCTGATAGATAGATTGATAGATAGATAGATAGATAGATGTTCAAGTGGATGGATCCAGAGAAATACGAAGCATTCTAATCAAGTCAGTTTCCCTTTTTGCTTTGTTTTGTTGTTATTACTGCTTTTTATTTTATACCGAGTATTAGATACAGTCTCAAAAAAGGAAAAACAGAATTTTTCTTGACCATACATAGTGCACTTCTGCTTCACTAGGTAATTGGAACAGAACATTTATTCCCTTGTGACAGACCACTTCTTTCCTAAAACCTGAGCCTTCAGATATTTTTAATTAAAGATGATTTCCTTCTTTAGGAAACAACCCTTTTAGAAGATTTGTTTAACATTCCAAAAGTTTTAAAAGTCAATGATGAGGAATAAGATTTGTCTTGGTTTGAGTAGTCTAGGGGTCACAAGATTTAATCACTTCATTCGTGTTTGTTTATTTTCAGATATTATATTATGCTAGTCTGGTTTAAATACCAGACCTCCTCTTTAACATAGTGGCTAACATACCATCTTAAATGTCCTTCTCAAGTGAGTTGCTCTCAACTTGAATAATCTGCCTTTAAAAAAAAATATATGAAATGAGTACTTTATGGTAAAACATTTCATCAGTTATTTGAGAATTAGTTAATTATTAAGCATTTCTGTAAGAGCACTTTATTTTACTAATATTCCACCTCTCTGGTGACTGTTTTTCTAAGAGTCCTAAGAAGTCCAGTTTATACCAGAGTGTCTCTCACCCTTTCAAAAATGCCTGAAAGGTCATCACAAAGAAATCAGAATGGGACTTACTCTGTTTCAGTTGGCTTTCCACCTCCATCTAAAGCCACAATTAATTTGGATAGGAAATTACCTATTAGAGTTTTCATAGCATATTTTCTCTCTAAGGAACTTTATTAAATTATATCTATAATGACCATCGAAATCTATCATTCCTAGAAGATAGTAATTGGTTATGTTTTTAAACTAGTTAATAAAATTCTTAGCCTTCAGATAAACCATGTTACTTAAGGTATCCAAAATCACAGGGTCTTGTGTTTTAGTCTTCACAAATGTTCTCAGCCTTATTCCTAAATAAAGTGAAGTGGAAATAAGAATTTGGGTTAGCCTCAACTGGAAAGGAAGGGAAAGAAAACATTGTATTTTAGCCCCTACCTGATTTTCAGTTACTTAAATTAACATACCAAGATTTTCAAAAAGTCACAAAGAACATCAGGTGTTTCAATTCAAATAAAATAGGGTAGAGCCTATTTTATTCAAGTAAAATAGGGTGACCTACACCTGTACTCTGGGACTGAAGCCAGAAGATCTCCAGCTCAAGGCCAGTCTGGACTACATAGTGAGATCTTGTCTCTAAATAAATCAATAAATACATAAATAAATTTAAAAATGAAATAAATATGGTAGGAGTTGATCTAGAGATTTCTAGTTATGTAAGAAGGAATAAGAAAATATTTTTCTATTGCCTATTATTCCTACCTTTTCTATAAAATTATCTGTAAATTCAGAGAAAGTTTTTGTTTAGAAAGTTTTTTTTTTTTTTTTTTTTTTTAACTTGAAGTGGCACTGGGATTGAAATTGACTTGCTGAGCAAGCACTCTACTTACTTGTGCCATACTTCCAGCCATTTTTAGCTTTAGTTGATTTTTTAGACAGGGTCTTGTTCTTTTTGCCCAGGCCAGCCTTGGACCACATTCTTTCTACTACTGCCTCCCATGTAGCTGGCATTACAGGTGTGCTGCATCACCATGCCTGGCTTATCTTTGATATAGGGTCTAGCTGACATTTTATTGCCAGGGCTGGCCTCAAACCACACTCCTATTTCCACCTCCAAATAGTTGTGATTATATATGTGAGCCACCACACCTGACCCTGAAAGAGTTTTACTTTATTGATTCCTAAATCATAAATTATTTTTGTCTACCCACCCACCCAAAGTCTGATCATGAAAAAAAAATGCATTCTGTGAGAAGCAGTAGACTTAAGGTAGGATGATCTTTAGTGTTAGCTTTATTTGTATTTATTTTGGAGTTAGTAAGATTTTTGTTCCTTTTGGATAATATTCATTTTTGCTTTTAAGGCTGATATTTAAGTTTGCACAGTAGAACATTGTTCAGCAAAGTGGAGTGTTACCTAAATCTTATTTTCACATTGGCTTCCTTTGGTAAGATTTAGATTTTGCTAGATATAGTCACTACTCAAAAGACTGTATTGCAAGTCACTTCAGAAAATTTATTAAAATATTGAAACTAACCTTAAAACCATAATGTAGTCACACTATAAGCAGTAATGGCGGAAATGCTTGCATATATCTAGAGTCTCTGTTAACGTATTAGTTGCATCCTATGGTCATGCTCTAAATGTCCTACTCCCATACCTTCGTGATTCTGCTCTTTTTTTAAGCAGTGCCAGGCTTCCTGATCCTTTTAACTTTAAATATAAGGTAATAATATTTTTAGGCTTCCTTAGTCTTTTGACTCAACAGTATATCTTGGTAAAGAGATTCCTTATTAAAGGGAATCCTTGGATGGAAAGAGATAGTATTGCTTATCTGTAGTCCAATTAATAGTTGTATCCAGAGTGGAAAAACAAATCTTAATTATTAAAAATTACTTAGCCAGGCATGGTGGTGTACTCCTACACTCCCAGAACTCAAGAGGCTGAGACAGGAGGATGGCAAGGTCAAGGCCAGCTTGAGCTTCATAGCAAGACCCTGTCTCAAACAACCAAAAAGGAAAAAAGTAGTTTAGGGTCTTGTTAATGGTTAAGAACCTGTGCACTAGATTCAACACCTGGGTAACCTTCCAGTTCTGCAGTGTTCTGGTTCTGTGATCTTGAGCAAGTTTCTTGATCATGCTAGCCTCCAACTTGCTCATGTGGAAAATGAAGATAAATAGCACCTGTCTCATGGGCCATTATAAAGATAAGATGCAAATGTGCATGAAGTGCTCAGTGAGGCACCTGGCAAATATCTGACACTCAAAATAGTTGCTAATACTATCAGCACGCAAATCTTAGGATCCAGTCCTCCAGTCTATCAGTCTGTTGCCAACATGCTCTAGCAACCAAGTGGAATCTGCTGTCACTAAGTACACTAATTATTCCTAGATTAAATACTGCATTCATAGAAGTGTTTGCTTGGATCCTCATCAGAAGCTGTTATTAAAAATTTTTGTCATGGCTGTTTAAATTTTGGTTCTTGTCAGTTATTGACCAAACCCCAGAAATCGACTATAGTGTATATAATGACAGGTGACTTTTAGTTGTAGTCAAAGCATCGAGCAAAATGATAGATGAAAAATAGTGCCAAATTTGGTAAGCCAGAGGAGTGTGATACCTGCAAGGAACTTCATGGTTTAAGGAATTCCTTATGCAGAGGATTATATTCAATGACATGTGCCTAGATTTAATTTTTTGGTAGATGAAGAGGTGAAATTAACTAGAAAATGGAAGGTCTGTCTTCCTTCTGTCAGATGTGCGACGTGAACAATTCATTTTATCTTTCACAAAATGAGGATAATTCCTGATTCTCCTTTCCTGATAGTAGCATTACAGCAATACAGTGTGGTAGGTAAAAATGAGTTGGTAATTTAGAGGGGAGAAGTATTCTACAGGTAGGTGTTGCTAATGTACAATCAGTTTCTTAGAAATTTTGTTTGTTGGACATGTTTTTAGCTTGCTTCAACCATAACATGTAAAACCCAGCTGAGAAATTATCTGCAGCCTTGATATTTAATTGACATAGCTGAACCATGTTCTACATACAAATATATGTTCTTTCATGGAGTTAGGCCATTTTAGGTTTTAAACTCATGATAATGTTCCTAGTCACCTTTCAGTGTGGCTCAAGTTGTAGAGGCCTGCCTACCAAGCACAAGTCCCTGGGTTCAAATCTCAGGACCCTCCCCCGCACCACAGGAAAAAAAAAAAAAAGATTCAGTGAAGTTCAAATAAGGCTTTTCTGCTTGAGGTTATTTTAAAATAACTTTGTTAAAATTAGCTCTTGTCCTCCCTCTACAGGAGAATTTGCAGCCTTCAAGTAGCCACACCATCATGGCAGCATCTACTCTTATTTCTTTAAGTCTTGTGTTTGTACAATTTGTTAACATCAAAACACAGTTCTGTTCCATATATCTTTTTTTAAAGATACAAAATTTTCAATGCATAAGCTGTTGAGGAACAGAATGGAATTTCCTATTCAACAAAAGAGGGAAGAATGTTTTAGGAACCAGAATTCTCTGCTGCCAGTGTTTCTTCTTCAACACAAATACCACGTGCATACAAGTCTGCCCATTCCCAGGAAGAAAGAGGAGAGACCCTGAATACTGACCTTTTGATGGTCAGGCATGATGGAAAGAAACTGCTGCTACAGCTTGGGAGATTTGCTATGGAAAGTCTGCCAGTCAACTTTGCCCTTCTAACCACCAGATCAATTTGTGGCTGATCATCTGATGGGGCAATTTCAATCACCAAGCATCGTTCTCTTTCCTGTTCTGGAATTTGTTGTGGAGCTCTTTCCCCTAGCCACCACCGGTTAATTTCTGAGGAATGGAACAAAAATGCAGCATACCCTTTCTGTGTGGCACATGTTCAGTTCTTGACAAATTTTCTCAGTGAAGTTCTTTTATTTAAATAGAGGGTGAGAGGTGAGGAGGAACTGCATCTGGGGGCAGAGGAAAAGGGCATGCTGCATCTTCTTCCTGACCTCTGGCTCTTGGCCTCTGGTTGCCTTGCTCACTGGGGCTGTGCCTAACCATGCAGGCTGGAAAGTGCTGGCATACATCGCCTTCTTTTTCTCATTGGGTCCAGCAATGAAAGATGAGGGCTGAGGACTTGTTTCCTCAAGTGTAGCAAATTCTCAGGAAAATCTAGTCCATATCTTCCTCTTAGCTCTTCCATTCACCAAGTACTTACACGGCTACTGTGTCCAAGGCACAAAAATGTCATGGGCAGTATCTAATTAAATGCCCACAAAACTGCTTAATAACAGTTTTGACTGTGAGAAATTTATGTAATTTATATGTAAGGTACAGGTGTTAATTTCTGAGTTTCTTCTATTTTTATTAAAAAATAATTTTCAAATTTAATTGGAATAATATTTCCCACCAGAATTATATATCATGAAAATTGTATTTTTGTTACATAGACAACTTTTAAAGAAAGATCATTATCCTTTTCTCTATATAAACATGGGAAGTCTTAGCATAATAACAATTATTTATAATTTTTAAATTAATGGTACTTGCTGGATCCACGCTAACATCTTTGCTAAGTTTCATTGTTTCTTCCAACTTACTTCTACACTACATCCTACATCCTCTTTCTAATCTTTTATCCAGAATATGCAACCTAAAATAAAAGTGGTGGTGTCTCCGTTCATTCTCCTCCTTCCTTTCTTCCCAAGCCTGGTCTTCAAAAGGTTGGGTAGTTTGGCAGCTGAGTTCCCCAAGCAGAAAACAGAGAAATGTTAGAGGTACTGGGGCTGAGGGAAGATGTGTAAAACTTGTCATCATTTGTTTTTATAGAAAGAGCTGCTGTGATATTGAGAACCTAAATCTTATCTTTGCACAAGTGAAAAACATAACTAAGTCATAGCTTTCCTTGGCCTTTATTAAAGGATAGTATAAATCACCATGGTAGCAAAGAAAGGGACTGAATGTATTAATGGCAAATGTACCTCCCTTATCAGGAGTGTAGAATCACTCATCAGGATTTAGGAATGCAAATCAAATAGCCTAACTAAGCTATAGCCAAGAACCTGAAAGGAATTATAGAGGACCTAAAATAAACCAGATTATGAAAATTGGCCCCACCATCTGTATTTCAGTCTACTCCCTACCATTATATTATTATATTATTTCTGCTAAAATACCTGTCATGAGAGAAAGGCCTACTGAAAATTTCATGGACTTATAAAAGGTTGTCCCAGCTATGCTGAGGTTATTAATCAGTGAACAGTAGTATGTTTTTAGTCTTAAATGAGCAGAGTGATGTAAATTACAAAATTACAAAAATGGAAATGATTCATGCTGGTGTGAACAGTAGCTTCTGTGTGAAGACGTGCCTCTTTTTTAAAAGCATTGGTTATTCTTTTTAAATATGTCTCTAGAGAGGCTTTTTAACATGGCTGTGTTCTCTTTACCAAGATTCCTTTAGACCTGGACCCTGCTAGAGAAAGCTGTCTTGGGCCTCAGGCATATGCTCAGCCCCTCCTAAGGAGATAGAGTGTTGTGCAAACCTCCAGCAAGCCCCCTTCCTGCCCTGGAGCAGAGCCTGCACACTCAGGGAGGGTGCTTAGAGAATGCAAGGTGATAGATTTGTTTCTTCCTTTCAGTTTAGAATATGTTGCTATCTCATTTGAAAAGGGGAGCAGACTTGATATCAAATAAAGCTCTGCCCCAAGCCAGGCTCAGGATATTGAGAGATTTTTAATAGGCAAGTTAAAAAACAGAAATGAAATATTTAATCCTTCATTTTCTTCTTATTTTCCATCAAATAGCTTTTTCTCTAGTTTACAAATCACATAACAAAGGATTTCCTTTAAGTTTTATTTGCTTTCTATTTTGATCCTTAGACTGCAGGTAAACTTGTTGAGCTCCTAAGAGAGTCCGAGGAAGAAGTCCTTGTTTGGGCAGCGCGCTTTGTCAGTAATTGCAGAGACAGAATGTGGCTGCTTCACCCACTATTCTGTATGGCTGTCACTGTCAGTCTGTCTGTAAAGTGGTGGCATGCCTCGGCTGTGTGTTTTGTTTCTGGTAGGGAGAGTGAAGCCTTCTGGAAAGTTGAGAGCATAAAGGATTGTTTTTAAACATGTACTATTCCTGATGGACTTTTTTTTTAATCATAAGCTAGAATAGGGCCTTTGCCACTGAAGTAAGATTGACCCAAAAAGAATACTTTATAGAAGGAACTTGTAACTAGAAAGCTCAATGTGATTGTTTGTACTTAGGTGCACCTTAAAAGAAGATTCTGACCAGCTGTCAAATTCGGGTACCTGAACATCCCATCCCTAATTGTATTTGAGGTCTGGTAGGACATCCTGGGACATCCTAGAAGATAAAAGCCCATATAAATTATATGTTATGTTTATGTTGTTGGAGAAGAAAGCATTATGTAAAGAACATGATTCAGGGCTTCAAGCACTGTCAACCCGGAACCTGTAAATACTTCCTCGTTCTCCTTCGGTGCAGTCCACTCTCTTGTATCACACAATGTCGTCATGTATTCATTGGGCACTGTCGGAGCTGCCGCATACCCCTGTTCAGATCTCAGCTGTTCCCACCACACACCCACCTCCCAGCCTCTTACAAACCTCGGCATCTAGCTTTAGTTTTAAACACATTGCAGGGTTCAGGTGACCTCTTCAAAAACTACCTCCTCAGAATGAGGTAATGGATAGTTATTTATTTTAAAGTATGAAAAGTCAGAAGCTCTAGAATGTGAGGATGATTTAAGATTTTAGCTTTTATGTGTATTTGTATTTGAGCACTGTCATTTTGTCCTAAAGGGCATTATACATTTAAGCAGTTATACTGTTTTAAAAAAAACAAAAAAACAAAAAAACGTAGCTCAGAATAACTGAATGCTGTTGGAACTGGTACCAGATCTGTTTAGGGGTACATTTCAGAATCAAATCAGTTGCAAGAAGTGAAATAGCTATGGTATCACTTCACTAATGATGTAATGTTACTTTTTAGTAGATTTGGCAAAACAGTACATCTTCATAATGAGTTAACCACAGCTCTGTCATATGCACAGATATTCTCATAGAGATTACCCAAGCTAAGGCGGTAGAAGGATTACCCTTTCTGCAAGATTCTCTTCTTTGTCCAAGTTGGCATTCTTAGTGCTAGAATATCAGCACCTCAAGACCAGCAGATGTTAACCATTAGGCCATCAGAAACCACAGCCAGAGATGAAAGGCTTACTGTGAGTGAACAAGTAGCTTACAGGTTACACAGTGAATGGTGTAGGTGAAGCTCTAAAAAACACCTTGACAATTTGCCAAATGATCTTACTGTGCCTTCATGATGCAATAAAAAAGTTAAAATTTTAGCAGAAATCAGTGATTTATGAAGAGAGCAGCCACTCTGGTTTAACTTAGTTGTGTTAATATTTTTTAGAGTGCAATTTAGACTGCAAAGATAAATGCACTAAAGACTTTATAGCCAAAATCACATTTTAAAAATGAGAAAACACGAAGGTAAATTTTCAGTGAACAAAAATATTTTTTTAAAGCACATACTCCCTAGTATAGTCAGATATATTTATCACATAGAGCAACTAGGTTGAAAATACAGTTCAGTGACATTTCTAGAGAAACTTTTTCTATTCCCATAGGTTCTTCAAAGCATGGAACTTTTATACAACAAAAATGACATTTTAAGAAACTGCTGTATAGTGTTGAAGTACTGTTTGCTGGGTAGCAATCGTGTACTGATTTCACATGTGTGCTTTCTCACTATCGTATCAGAGAAAGGAAAAGTTAAAATATAGGACAGAATTTGATCAGTTTCCAGAGTGCTGCCAACCTAGTCACTGATTTTTCAGTTTGAAATGTAAACTTGCCTCCCAGGACTTTTTTGCAAATGAGGTTGGACTGTGCTACTAATCCTGCTCTGATGCACGGTGGAAGCCATCCATGAGGGCAGTGTCCAAGAGGTGTCCTTTGGAATTGTGAATGACCTACACGACGCATGTAAAACCAGACACTCCGTGGTGTGGTTCTTGTATCTTGTTTCTTTCCACACCACCCCCAAGAAAGTCAGTATTTCGTCCCCAGTGCATCCTCAAGCTATTTCATTGAGATGAATTATGGATGCCTGGAAAGGGCAGTCGCATCTCTGCTTGCAGAGGCAATGACTTGCAGATTGACCATAAGAGAGCAAAGTGGCCAGTATATTCGTGGTCTGTTGCTGGCTCTGAAAAAGTTGAAAATATTGGTAAGATGTTTGTTGTATCAGTACACTAGACAGTAAACTTCATTTTGTTTTCAGGTAACTTATTTTCACTTCTGTTTGGAAAGAGATAATGTTGAAATTCGGTATCAATTCTTGGCAGTTGTAAAAGGGATAATTAACAGTTCCTATCAGGTTTTTGTTTTGTTTTCTTTTGAGAGAAGAGAACAGAATCCAAAGTCCTAAAATTCTTTTTCTTTTTTTTTTTTTGTGGCAAGGTCTCTTTCTACCACTGAGCCACATCTCTAGTCCGTGAAACCTTAACAAGTAAAAACCAGCTGCCACCTCAATAAGTAGATAAAAATAGATCCTTTATTTCAGTATTCACAATTTCAACTGTTAATTTTTATTGTTAAATCAGTTTCACTAAAATATTTACTTTTATTTGGCTGTTTTGACTAATTGCGTTGATATAACAAGTTGTGCATGAGGACACAGCCAGTGTGGTTTTTTTTGCAGTGCATTTTTTCCTTTTTTTTTGCAAATAATTTTGTGGGTTGAAGTACTCTTTGAAAACAGAGAACTGAAATACATTTATTTGTGTTAGTACCAAAAAAGTTCTGTGCAAACCATTTGCTTCTCCTGGCAGGCCGAGTACATTATC